AGAGAAGGAGAGAAAGAGAGAGGGAGAGAAAGAGAGAAAGAGAGAAGGAGAGAGACAGAGAGGGGAAAGCAAAGGAAAAATTGACTGGTCAGTGATGGAGCGGGAGGGGGGAACAGGTTTCCCAGGTGGAGGATGGCAAGTGCATACCAGAGTGTGAAGCAGTCATCGCACCACTGGCGGACAGGTCAGCCCCCCATGAGGGGAGGCCGCCAGCGCCGTGGAGGACCGCGGCCGCGGCAGCCACCTCCGACGCCTCGCGACTGGCCGACAAAAAGGCACCCGTGCCGCCCTTATTCGGAGACGACATCAACAGGTCGCCATGCATGGAGCCTCCGGTCTGATCCGGGTGGTGGTGGAGGAGCTGCGCGACGGCAGCCGCAGCAACAGCGGCAGCCGCCGCGGTGGACGACGTTCCCGGCTGTGAGGGGAAGGGCACCGGCTGGCCGACCTCGCAGAAGGGCAGCTGCGAAGTCGACTGGGGCAGGGGAATCTGAAAGTGGGCGTTTGCTGTGCTCGCGGACTGGGGCGGCTGGGAATAGCCACCGGTGCCTCCGCCAACCGCGGGGATATGGGGCTGTTGGAACATTGTCATGCCTGGCTGGCTGGCGCAGTGCTGGTGTTGCGACTGTTGTTGTTGTTGTTGCTGCTGCTGCTGCTGTTGGAGGGACTTCATCTGATTGCCTTGCATCGGCTGTAGGCCGGAAAAGGATACGGCAGAGGGGTGGGCATGTCCATTGTTGCCGAGGGGCTTCACTTGAGACAGGCCATTACCGCCGATTTGCGAGGGGGAGGTCGCAGTGGCGGAAGCGACAGCAGCAGCGGCGGCCGCATAAGATTGGTGGAGGTGTGCGTGAATGGGACTCAGGTCGGCACCACCATGGGACTGCTGTTGGAGGTGCTGCTGAAGTTGAAGCTGTTGCTGTTGCTGCTGCTGCTGTTGGAATTGAAGCTGCTGCTGCAAACGCAGTTGCTGCTGCTGCTGCTGCTGCTGTTGAAGCTGCTGCTGCTGCTGCTGAATGCGTCGCTGGAGCTGGAGCTGTTGGATCTGCTGGAGCTGGAGCTGGCTATAATGCTGCTGTGGCTGCTGCTGCTGCTGCTGCTGGTAAACGTGCTGCTGCTGCTGCTGCTGCTGCTGTTGCTGTTGCTGTTGTTGTTGCTGCTGCTGCTGCTGCTGCTGCTGCTGAGTTTGCTGGCCATGAGCATGATGGAAGGGTTGATGGAAGGGCTGCTGAATGTTCTTCAGTTGGGAGTAGCCTCCTTGATGGAGGTATTGCGTCGCACTGGGGGCGCCCTCCGACGAAGACCCGGCGTGGATGCCGAGCGCCATGGTCGGAATATCTGAAAATGTGTATGTGTGTGAGAGGGAGAGGCAAGAAGGGCGGGAAGAGGGAGAGAGAGAGGGGGGGGGGGGCCGAAGCACGACATACCAGTCAATTGAGGGATGCTGAGCTCGATCTTCTTCATCGACAAGGACCCGTCGTCCCAGGCGCTGGCAGCGGCCGAGGAGCAAGAGGGGGGAGCGGAGGTACCAACACTGGCGGAGCCGCAGGAATGGAAGGAGCTGCCGGTGGGAGAAGACTGGATGGTGGAATGATTGACAAGAATAAGGCCGCTGGGAACTAAGGATAGGTGAAGGACACGCAGTCAGTCAGGCAGCCGGAGGGAGGAGGACAGGGGGCCGGCGATGGAGGACGAGAAAAGGCATGCTCAAAGGGAAGACCACGGACCGTTGACTTGCAGGTGGTTGCCGTTTAGGAGGAATCCCTGAGCGGAGGTGATCTCGGAGGGGCCAACGTGGGCGGCCTGTGATAGAGCGCCGAGATTGAGATTGGCAGACAAGGTGGAGGAGGAGCACTGGTTCAGGTGCTGTGGAAGACCGCTAGGCGACGTGCCGACGCTGGCAAGAGTGGCGGAAGTGGCGGTGGCGGCGGTTGAGGCAGCGGCAGCAGCGGCGAAGGAAGTTTGCTGGCTGGACAGGTTCAACGACGGAAGGCCGGAGGAGCCTTGAATGGAGAAGTCGCTGCTTGACTGGTGCTGCATGGGCACCGAGCTGGGTCGCGCGAGGGTTGGGGCGGAGGAGGGAGAGAAGGAGGATGGCGTCGACAGGGCAGCGTGTGTTGGCTACCAAATGGTGTGGACCAGGGAGAGGAGGGGCAGGAGGGTGGAGAAAGGGGAAGATGGTTCCTGTGTGTGAGGAGAAAAGAGAGAAGAGGAGAGGGGAGAGAGGGAGGAGGGGAGGGGGGAGGGGGGAGAGGAGTTTGACACAGGAGTCAGGGGGGAAATGTGGAAAGATGCATGAAAGGAAAAGGCACGGGTAAGGGTGTGAGGGGAATATGGGAGCAGGGAGCAGGGAGCAGGGAGCAGGGATCACCGAGCAGGGAGCAGGGAAGAAGACAAGAAGAAGTCCCAAGATCGGAGGTCAGATATGGGGATGGGGAAAATATAAGAGCCGAGAGCATGCGCAGGAATGCCGGCGCACCATCAATTGCTCCTTCGATCGGCGGATGGTCAAGCGAGGAGATCTGGCGAGGGAGAGTCTAAGATTGGCTGAGATGATGGGAGGGGGGGG